GGAGGAGGGGCAAAGAAAGATAATACCTGGGGTATTAGCCTGAAAAACAGTATTTTACTTTTAGCTCCACATAGCTCTTTGGGCTCTGTATAGGGAGACTTTCATTGCGGTCTGTGAATTTTGATAGTTTGGAATCTCCAGAATTATTCGTTGCCATGGCTGTGCTAAATCAAAGGGTAGACAGCTGTTTGGAGGTGAGGGTGGGGTCTGTCTTCTCATCGTAATTTTCATATTCCTGAAAGGACAGGAATGATGAGGTATTGTGGGGTCATATTAAGAAGAAAATTGGTGCCTGTTTTTTACCATAGCATTCAGCTGCTTCATCTCAAATAGGAGTGTATCAGGGCCTGTGCTAGTTGGTTTTCTTACACTATCTCAGTTAAACCTCACAGTGATCCTGAGGGGGTAGGTATTACTATATACTACTGTCCTCATTTTACAGGTGAGGAAACTGAGGCTCCAAGAGGCTAAGTCACTTGCCCATTGGTAATTGGTTGAACTGGGATATGAAGCCAGGTGGATCTGGTTCCAAAGCCTGCATTTATAACCCCATGGTGCCATGCTGCCTCCCAGATGTCTCCAGGTCCTTTGTGGCAAACCAGCTCTAGAACAAAATTGCTACCTCCCGACACCTATGCTTTTGCTGGGGCCTGGAGAGTTGAATGTTGGGATTGACTCTCACTTTACATAAAATCCCAGTGTGGTTCAGGATGCAGACAAAACCTAGACATTTCCCTTTTGACAGCGAGTACTTTTGCACTTACAAACCTCTTCCCCACCCCCACCCCCTTGAGAAAACGTTATGCTTCCAGGGAATCTGAGGCACAGTAAAGTGCCTATGGTTTAGCATATCTGAAAGCAAGAAAATTGGAAATTCTTGAATGCAGATCATGTTTATGGAGTTTCCCAATTATCAGCAACATGCCTTCCTTTTACTTGTCAGGATATAGAGCTAGGAAAAGCCACTAAATAGTTGACCCAGGTTTAAAGGTGGAAATCATTGACGCCATGGGTAGCCACCCACATATACTGTCTGTCTAAGTGCACACATATTCTATGTCCATGCAGATTGACAGATGTCCCAAGTGCAAATCTCGGCCCTTATCCTTCCTAAGGAGCCAAGAGGGTGCCTGTGCTTTCCCTTCTTGCTATCTTGCTTTGTTCCATGTACTGAACAAGCAGTTTTTAAAAAATATATCTATTGATTTCAGAGAGAGGAAAGGAGAGGGAGAGAGAGAGATAGAAACATCAATGATGAGAGTCATTGATTGGCTGCCTCCTGCACCCCCCCCCCCACTGGGGATCAAGCCTGCAACCCAGGCATGTGCCCTAACCAGGAATTGAATGAGGNCCCCCACTGGGGATCAAGCCTGCAACCCAGGCATGTGCCCTAACCAGGAACTGAATGAGGATCTCCTGGATCATAGGTCGATGCTCAACTGCTGAGCCACGCCTGGCCAGGCTGAATAAGCATTTTTGAGAGCCCATCTTGTTCCTGGTGCCAGATTAGATTTCAGGGGTGATACAAAGAAACATAAAACATTCTCTCTGTCTGCTTGGACTGTCATTCACTTGAGAAGACGGGGCTTACACTCAAGAAATAATGAAACCAAGAATCATATGGTCCGTGTCAGAATGAAGGATTCAAAAAACAAAACACATAGGTATTCAAGCTTGTTGCAGGCCATGGGACTGCCTGGGACTGACAGTACAGTAGGAAGTCAGGACCTTGAGGCATCAGTCTAACCCTGCTGACTTCGACCCAGGGAGGGGGAATGATTTATTCACTCACACAGCTGGACAGTGACATTAAGGAGGAGGTAGGACTTAAGCAGCGCTTAGTACTCTTATCAGATGAGATTAAGGACAGAAAGAGAAGCAACCAGACCAGCAGTTAAGGCAGAGGAGGATTCAAGTTGGTAGGACCAGAAGGAGTTTGAATACCAGACTGAACATTCAGATGTTGTCACATAGGTAGAGGGAAAGATAAGCAAGAAAGTCCTAAAAGAGAGACACGGGATTTAGACTACCTAGGAGAGTATGAGTAGTGCATTTTATTTGTTTAAACTAAGAGTTTCAAGCGGATCCCTGCAATGGGATCAGGTGTGCTGCGGAGACCCATTTGAGGTAACAAACAGTACTTTCCTTCTCTTCCTATAGATATCCCACTGTTGAAAGAAGCATGAGGTTTGCCACCGTCCTCTCTCCTCTCTGCAATGATCCTCTCTGCTCTTTTCCCCTCTCCCTGTGGGTTTGAGCACCCTGTACTCCAGCCACCCTGCCCGGATATCTGAGCTGCCACCTGTGGATCTGTGGACCTCTGAGGGCCTGTAAGCCCACCTCGCTGGAAACTCAAGGAAGATTCTCGCCATCTGCCTGCTGGACAGCTAGAGGAGCTGGCTTTTTGCCTGGCCCAACCTTCCCATCTTTGTCGGGAACATATATGAATGTGCTGGATTGAACCCTTCCTTTCCCTGAGCCCTCTGGGTCCCCTCCAGCCAGCTATTTCGTGGCAGCCCCCACCAGCCCACATGGGCCAGAGAGCCGCTGTGTTTACTTGTGCCTTCCCCCCACCCTGTCCAGGCTCCCTGTGACGCAGGCCTGTTGCTGTCCTACAAGCCTTAGTGGCTGCACTGCTGCCCCATGTCACACAAGGGGCTGGGCCTGGGGCTGGCTTGTTTCCTTTGAAGGCTGGCACCACTGCCCTTACCAGGAGCAGATCCAAGAGTGAGAGCTGGGGAGNTGAATGAGGATCTCCTGGATCATAGGTCGATGCTCAACTGCTGAGCCACGCCTGGCCAGGCTGAATAAGCATTTTTGAGAGCCCATCTTGTTCCTGGTGCCAGATTAGATTTCAGGGGTGATACAAAGAAACATAAAACATTCTCTCTGTCTGCTTGGACTGTCATTCACTTGAGAAGACGGGGCTTACACTCAAGAAATAATGAAACCAAGAATCATATGGTCCGTGTCAGAATGAAGGATTCAAAAAACAAAACACATAGGTATTCAAGCTTGTTGCAGGCCATGGGACTGCCTGGGACTGACAGTACAGTAGGAAGTCAGGACCTTGAGGCATCAGTCTAACCCTGCTGACTTCGACCCAGGGAGGGGGAATGATTTATTCACTCACACAGCTGGACAGTGACATTAAGGAGGAGGTAGGACTTAAGCAGCGCTTAGTACTCTTATCAGATGAGATTAAGGACAGAAAGAGAAGCAACCAGACCAGCAGTTAAGGCAGAGGAGGATTCAAGTTGGTAGGACCAGAAGGAGTTTGAATACCAGACTGAACATTCAGATGTTGTCACATAGGTAGAGGGAAAGATAAGCAAGAAAGTCCTAAAAGAGAGACACGGGATTTAGACTACCTAGGAGAGTATGAGTAGTGCATTTTATTTGTTTAAACTAAGAGTTTCAAGCGGATCCCTGCAATGGGATCAGGTGTGCTGCGGAGACCCATTTGAGGTAACAAACAGTACTTTCCTTCTCTTCCTATAGATATCCCACTGTTGAAAGAAGCATGAGGTTTGCCACCGTCCTCTCTCCTCTCTGCAATGATCCTCTCTGCTCTTTTCCCCTCTCCCTGTGGGTTTGAGCACCCTGTACTCCAGCCACCCTGCCCGGATATCTGAGCTGCCACCTGTGGATCTGTGGACCTCTGAGGGCCTGTAAGCCCACCTCGCTGGAAACTCAAGGAAGATTCTCGCCATCTGCCTGCTGGACAGCTAGAGGAGCTGGCTTTTTGCCTGGCCCAACCTTCCCATCTTTGTCGGGAACATATATGAATGTGCTGGATTGAACCCTTCCTTTCCCTGAGCCCTCTGGGTCCCCTCCAGCCAGCTATTTCGTGGCAGCCCCCACCAGCCCACATGGGCCAGAGAGCCGCTGTGTTTACTTGTGCCTTCCCCCCACCCTGTCCAGGCTCCCTGTGACGCAGGCCTGTTGCTGTCCTACAAGCCTTAGTGGCTGCACTGCTGCCCCATGTCACACAAGGGGCTGGGCCTGGGGCTGGCTTGTTTCCTTTGAAGGCTGGCACCACTGCCCTTACCAGGAGCAGATCCAAGAGTGAGAGCTGGGGAGACAAGAGGGACTCTTAATTGGAGCAAGAGTGTGGGTCCCTGCGCTTGCCCTTGGTTGACACTGGTAGCATATTTCCTTGGCTGGGGATGGAGGGTGTGAGAAATCCTGCCAGGGCTGTCCCAGCACCCAGCTGTCTAGCTTAGAGGTGCCGGCTCCTCGCCCTGCTGAATTGAGTTTCCAGGAAACATCCAGAAGATCCCAAGGGAGGGCAGGAACGTGGCTGATGATGATTGTCTTCCTAATATGCAAGTTCTCGCCTACTTCAGCATTGGCCTTTCTGGCCTCCGTTTTTTCTTTCCCTGGAGTATAAGGGGAAGTTGCATGCTGCCTCCTGGGTTTTACCTGGGCAGCTCCTGCGTCCTTGCTGCCCACAGAGGCCCAAGGTGAATTATCCCTGGGACAGGAGATTGCTGAGATGCCATGGACTGCCCACATGGTGACTCACATTTGGGGCAAGTTGCCCGTTCTGGGTTCGTGGTGATGGAGGGGAACCTGAGAGGCACAGACTAAGTCCCCAGGCAGCTGCAGGCAGCTTCAGCCCCGGTCCTGAGGGCCCTCCTCACCACAGTCATGTGCCTTAGTAACTGTTCCAGGAAGCGTCCTGCTGCTTGCTGCACTGCTGCTTTTCTTACTTCTGCCCTCCCCTGCTCTCCCCTACTCCTGTTCACAGCTGACAAATGACTTCCTGGTCTTCTCTGGCACCTGGGGCAGGGGTTGAGAGACAGTCTTCACACCCCCCACCTTGCCGGCCACAGTGAGTGAAGGGTTGCAAAGCAGCCTGGCACCTGGGGCCTGGTATTGCAGGAGTGGGCTTGATGCTCCAGATGCTTCCACTCACTGTCTCTCCCTCAGCCATGTCGTGAATGCTGACAAGGCTGGGATGGCAGAGCTCAAGCTGGCTGCTTCTATCTTCAAAAGATGTAGTGTTAAGTAATAGTTGTTTCTGAAACATTGGGGCTGGGGGACTTCAGAGCTGACCCCATGCTGCACCTCTGCTCCTCCCTTGAGCCTCTCTGTTTGGGGTGGTAAAAGTAATAAAGAGCCCGATATATTTTCAGTACCTGACCAAACAGGGTAGCTCCAGGAGTGGGTGGCCTGGAAGATTAGGGGAATGGCCTTCTCTCAGCCTCCTGCCTCCACTCTCACACGCACTTTACTGCCCGCTTGTTCCTGGCCTCTTGCAGCCTCTGTTGTCTTCTTTCTCTCAGGGTAAGGGCAGTGCCTGCTGTGCCTGTTGGCCACTTCCACCTCTCTCCCCTGCCCCACCCAGGAGCCCGAGAATGCTGTGCCCAAAGCCCAGGCTAGCGTGGTTAGATATGGAACAGATTGTCAAAGGTGCCAGAACTAGAACGCAGAGCCATTGAGGGAGATGAAATGTACCAGGGGGCTGTCCTTGGCCTCAGAAGAGGCCATTTCTAGAGAGTGCCTGCCAGCAGTTGCTGGCTCTGGGCCTATCTGGAGGGTCCCTAATGACCCAGCGGCCTCACCAGGCATAGGCTCTCCTTCCCCACAGGGGTACCCTTGTCTTCAAAAAAGAAAGCAGGGGTGAATGGTGTGGGATCTGGAGTTGGCTGAACCTGCAGCTTTTATTTCCAGTCATCCAAAATCTGAATTCTAGCCTAGAATTTTTTCTTTTAATGAAAGATCTTACCCCATTTTCATATCCTGGCCTTTCCCCCTGAGAGATTGCACTTTTGTTTCAGGTTGATTCAGCCACATAGGTTACCCGCTCAGGCCTTGGGGAAAATGAAAAGCCTTCCTTCTGAAGCATTCTTCCAACTCCCCGCCATCCACGCTGTCCTGGGTTCCAAACCCAGGCTGTGTGCCTGGAAGGAAAGGGAAGAGTAAATGGGAGCCTCCCGTTTCTGCCCCACCTCCTCTCCTCTCCAGTCCCCTCCCCCCTCCCCCCCTTGTCACTGACTTTGACGAGGCCCACCTCCGAGGCTTAGGGCCTGTGGGTGCAGGAAGCAGGCCTCATCCTGCTGACATCCACAACAGCTATTAGTTCTCTTTTCCCTAAAGTAGTTTCTTAGTCATCAGCCAAGTGCTGCTGTTTCAGGGGCTTCTGGGTTTTGTCCCTTGCAAGGGATTAGGGACTTTACAGCTGCCTTAAGGTGGAGCCTGGCTAAGAGACAGAACGGTGGCAGGTGGCAGGCTGCTAGGAAGGAGGCTGTCAGAGGAGCCTGGAGCAGATGGGAAAACTGCCCATAGCCTGGCTTTTCTGGGCTCACCTCTAGGGGAGTCCAGCAGAGGGCTTGTCCAGGAGAATGGTCAGCACCAAAGGACTTTCTTTAAAAAGGTATTTTTTTGCACATGTGAGCTAACTCAATGCAGGTTTTATATCCTGGCAACTTGCAGTTACATTCCAGTGACTTAAAAGGGCCAGTTATAGTGAAAAATCACATAAAACTTCCCTCCCTTTCAATGCCTTGGTTTAGCAAGCAGGCACTGTCTTTCGCCACTTCTGAATTTCATGTGCTGTGTTCCCATTTCACTCAGTGTGAACCGGGAAACAGGCTGAGTCCTGGCCACTTTGAGTTCTTTTGGTTTTATAAGGCATTTCAGTATGTGTTCTAACACTCCATTTGCAAACAGAACTGGAACTAATGTTACCTTCCCCATTCACCTTTCCCTCCCAAAGTTCTGTGGAGAAGCTGAATGGCAAGACAGACAAAGGTATACTCTTCCTGCCTCATTGGTGGTGGCACAGGGATTGGTAGCACTCAGCCTTTCCCCTCCCACCCTCAGCTGAGCCCTCAGACCACTTGCTTCCTCCATAACGTCACTTCCATTCCCAGGTTACATCTTTGCATCAGGAGTGGACTATGCTGCACACATTTCTACATCCCTGCCTGTTTTCCTCCTAAAGAGAATAAAGGACCCAGAAGGGAAGTGGTATGCAGGCTTTCCAGCTGAACCCCAGATGTGCCTGCTGGGAGCTTCTCTCATGGGGCCTGCTGGGGCTCCAGATGCTCAGTATAGGGACAGTCATTACTGATGCTCAGAGAAGGGCTCAGAGAGGATTTTGGTTGGCAAGCTCAGATTTGCTGGGAAACTCCTCTTAATCTCCAGTTGAAAACAGTAGAATTTTGAATGAAAACCCCAAAGTTGAACCCTGTGCCAGGCAGCAGAGCTCTGGAGAGGCTGCAGGGGCAAAGCACTTGGATTGCCAAGCAGGGGGGAGAGATGGATGTGTGTTCCGTGGCCGCCCACCACACCCTGCCCTGGCTTATTGCACCACTATGGAATCTTTTGCAGAATGGTACTCAAATTTAATGGTTTAAAACAACACGTGCATCAATTGACTATGTGCAGGATGTCACTCAATCATTTTGGGTTTGCTTTATTTTATATATATTTTTTTGGTATCCTGTACATTGCAGTGGGTGTGAAGATAGTATTTTAATATTTGTATAAAGTTTAATTTAATTTTAATTGTTCTATGTATATAACTGCATTTCTAAATAATAATAATAAAAAAGTTCTTATGAGGCAGTTGTGAGAGATGTGATCCTTCCATAAAGTTTTTATAGAAACCCTAGGTTGAAAAGATTGCATGTGGGTAGGAGCTCATGAAGGGATGAAGCACTAGCTCTGGGGAGACAGGTAACTCACAGGAGATGAGACAGGGAGATGGTCCATGCCACAAGGAA